AATAAACTCGCAGATCGTGTTTTATCGGGTCTAAAACCACTCGGCTACGCCTCGTGTTTTATACCCGATAAAACACTCCTGCTCGTTTATTAAACAGTACTTAGTCAACTACAATGCACTGCGCTCCTATGTTATTGTTTACTTGGTTCACCTACATCGTTCTTGACACTCTTCCACGCACTGGTGGATCAAAATATCTGCAAAAATGCTATACCAAAGTTTTCAAATTCCCAAAGTTTCCTTCCCTTCATTCCACAGCAAGTAGGTATAATTTTTCATAGAGATTTTCTTTGTGACATTATGACTTTCGGTTGTCCAACTGTAAGTCATGACAACTCCCAAAATCTACCTTAGATTCATTGAAAAAATTTATAACATCTCTGGGAAAACTTTATTAAGTGACTATGTAGGTATAATTTTTCATAGAGATCTTCTTACAAAATTTATAACATCTCTGGGAAAGCTTTATTAAGTGACTATGTATCATCATATCATGGTTATAAAAACATCTAGCAGGAATAACAAGACTGATGGAACTGGATTCCCAAACTTCACCTGCGAAACTGCCATTTTGCCTGGCAGAGAAAATGGTGCATTGCTTGCATCGCATTGTTTCTGGCGCACAGCGCATTGTAGTTGACAAGGAATTTTTTAAACTTTAGAATGTGTATTAGAATTAAAATTTACAGCAAATTTTGTAGGCCGATCCTCCATTCCTGTAAACAATGTCTGTAAGAAATGTCGCCCTGAAAAAAGTAAAAAAAGACAATATTATTATCAGATTACTGTGTTATTTTACAGTGATCAGTATTGCTATTGCTATTGTTATATGTAGTGGGCATTTTTTCTTACCAAACTGAAGAGCAAATTCTTCACGTCTTGCATTTTCCTCTGCTTGCATCTGTGCAACATTCTCATGTAATTTATTGGCCCACTAAAATAAGAGATAAAAGAAATTGTGGATTATTTCAGTAATTAAGTGCTGTATGGTTTTGAAAACCCTGCCAGTGACCACCTCTGTAAAGTACCTTTTGTTTATCATCTTATCATTTTTTATCAAGCCCTGAAATAATTTCTGTGCAGTGATGGTTTATGTAGCATAAACTTTCGAGTAAACCATCACTAAAGATTATCAAAACAAAAATAGACTTTTGACTTACTTTCAAAAACTGAGAAGACAATTTCCTACGGCGAACAACTTCTGCTGCAGCAACAACATACATCTTTGGTGCTTCACTTACTTGATCCAGGATATCAAGTCTAACAATGAAAATGAATATTCAAAATAGACCAATACTCCTTTTACAGTTCCATTCAGTGATCACGAATAATAGTTCTAAGTCAAGACTGGAGTTTCCGCGCAAAGCAAAACTATGCTTTTCATCTTGCGCAGCAACTCCAACTTCGGCTTGGAACTATTATTATTGTATCACAGCGTGGGACAATCACAAAGCCCAAAGGACGAATTAGAATTTGTTGATTTTTGAGGAGGGAGGAAAACCGGAAAACGCGGAGAAAAACCCTCAAAGCACAGGAGAGAACCAACAAACAACTCTATTCACATACGACTTCGAGATCGGCAGGACTCGAACTCAGGCTGCATTGGTGAGAGGCGGTGCATTAGCAGCGCATGCCACCAGTGCTTACAGACTCATTTACACCGGGTTAGCCTTGTATCGGTGTTTAAATACCACGAGGGTAAAGTGGTAGCTGTAATTTGGAATGGGAAAATGGTATATTGATGGTAAAGCAACAAGTATTCAAGAAAAAAATGAAAGGGTTAGGAATAGAATGTTGTTCATTACCTTCGTTTTATCCTTCGAATATTTTCATGGTACATAATCAAGGTACTATCAGTATCACAGACTTTCTTTTCTATGTACATAATCCATCTGGAAATTAAGGACAAAATCTATTGAAAAATGTTGGTGTTTGACAATAGCGAAGCGCGCTGATTCTAAATAGCTTAAAGATTCGGACAAACATTGCATTCTGTTTATTGTTAACCGCTACGAGGATTATACGAACCGATTTTATTATTTTTACTTAAAGTTACAATAATAACCCATGTAAACTAAGATCAACTGCGATCGGCTGTGAAAATTATCTGCTGAAAGTAAACTTGTCAGTTTGTTTGTCCGAATTTCGCCTTTGTCTTCGTTTGTATGACGTCATGGCTGCGCTGCGCTATTCAGTTTAGTGTGCTTTATTGATATACTATTGCATTATATATTATAACTACCAGAATGCCTTGCACATTTTTGTTTGTTCATTTGGTTGAAAAGCAGCAATTTTCACCCCAATATTTTATTTTATATTATCTATTTATCAAAATGCCTAATGCTATGTAAGAGGCTTATTTATGATTACCTCAGTCTTGTGTGCAGATTGACTGACAATTCTTCTTTAGCTTTGGCAGAACGACGAAGATAATCCCTGAAGACGGGAAATATTAGATAAATTCATCTCATAATCTCTATTAATAAAGGTACAGCATCTACAATATCTACAGTGTAGACTCCACCTTACAGGTACTTTTTGCTTTCCTCATATCACACATTACCTTAACTGAGAGTGGTTCTTCAACAACATCATCAACTGTTTCTGATGACTTGCGCACAAGTCTGGTAAAACAGATGCATCTCCAATGTTCTGTGCCCTTGTTTGGTTTTGAATGAAGCCCTAAAGGAGTATACAGGAATAAAAGTATTACGCCATGATTGGATAATATTTTAATTCATTTTTGCCAGTCTGGTATCCTAAGAATAGTTCATTCTGATTGGCTGTGTGAGTGGGCGGTATCACTCCCACCTTGGTAGGATAGAAAGAGTGAATTGATTGCTTAAATTACAATATACAAATAAAATTGATAAGAGCAGATAAAGTTAAAGGCCTTATTTAACATCAGTTTTCCTTCAGCTAGTAGCTGCTTTTCCAGGGAGCTGACGGCGTGAGCTTTACCCCCTTCTCTACATCATTGCTCTGTTTTAAGAGTATTCAAAGCTGAAGCTATGTGGATTAGAAAGCAGTCCCTTTTTAAATAGAGAGTTTGCATCTGACCGGGTATCCAGTCACAACCCTGTGGGGAAACAAACTGTATATATGCTATCACACATGTCACCATATGCCTTCATCACATAGCAGCCATGTTTATTCGCATAAGAATAGAAACCTTTGTTTAACCTATACACATTTCTTCTTAAGCACTAACACCAACATAGGATGCCACATGAAAAAGGCCCATGTATAATGGTTTAGCTCTGTTTCTATCTGTTGGGTTACCTGTGCCATATCTGACTGTGACTGCATTAGTTCTTGTACTTTCTGGAGAAACTGCTGCAGATGCATTAACCTTTCATCTAAACCTTTAATTTCTTTCATGCTGGTATTGTCAAGTGCTTCCCGTACCTGGTGGATAAGAAATGTGCAACAATTGTGGATAACGATAATGGCTGCTCAATGGCCAGGCATAATGGTCAGCTACATAGGATTGATCATCGTGTGACCAGTCCATGTGACCAGTTCATGTGACCAGTCAATACTAGCATAGGGAGGGTGGGGCAGGGGACAACAGGGGGACACATGCCCCCCTAAATTTTTGTTAATTAATTAAATGAGTAAAGATGTTTGTTTGTTTTGTTTTTTACTTTTTTTTATTCTGAATGCCCCACCCAATCAAATTCTTGGGTCCTTGCTACTGTACATCCCTTGGCCCAGTTGTATGAAGCCTGGATAGCGCTATCTGACGGATGAATCTTATCCAGTGGATTAATTTATTGGATAGCAGCATTGACTTATCCACTGGTTAAGGATTCTGACCCGATAGTGCTATCCAGGCTTCATACAACTGGACCCTGCCATTCAATGTGACCAGGCAAGATAACCATCTTAGGTGTTGTTTGGCTGCACAAGTACCAATTTTTGGCTGGACTTTATCCATTGACTTCTCTGGCAACTCTCACCTGAAAGACTTCATTCATTACACCTTCCATCACACTCTCATCAAACTGTTCTATAGCTGAACTACATTGGGCAACTATATCTTGCAGACTGTTCTTGTGATCTTGCGCACTAATCCATTCAAGAAGGCTGATGCTGTCCCTGGACTCTGGCCTGTTCGCATGCTGGCTGGACAACAGACATGGCAGCACAGGGATCTCAGCAAGAATTTGAAGAATTTCATCATAACTGTTTAGAAAAGGAATTCATTAAATTGATGGCTTTCAATAATCCCCAAGAAAAGAAAATAATAAATGTTGGATGATAAAACAAAAGAGCCTAATGACAAAACTTTTTATGTTCATCCAAAATGGCGGCTATAAAAATAAGAAATATAATCAATTTTGGTGCATCAAATGGATCACTTACTAACTTTGACTATTCTATGGATGTCACTGAACTGGGTTTTCATGCTAGAAAAAAATACATGCCAAAGTCACGCCTCCAAACATCTATGACTCTGTATGACTCGCTGCTGACAGGTATTAAGCTTTTAGTCTGCATTTCTTTCTCCATGTGTTGGCATCCTTTGGTTATTTTGTGGGGGAAAATATTACAAAAGGATGCCGACACAGATCCCGACACATGAAGAAGGCTATTTGTCAGCAGAATTGTAGACATTTCGAGGTGACTGTGGCACTTGTTTTTGGCATGAAACCAGAAACATTGGTATCAAGATCCTTTTTTCAACTGCTGAAAGTACTTTTGCAAGAATCATACTAACCCATTTAACATTTCCAGATATCTTGGTCTTGATTCTAAAAACTCTTTATAACTTTGCTGTACGACAGTTGCTCTCTCGTTGAACTCCCTGGTTAATATTCAAATCACAAAAAATTACCATTTATAGAATCTTTGGTTGATGGTACCATATTTAAATCCTTCATTGACATCATTATTTATCCAACCCTATTATTATAAGCCATTCTGAGGTTGAGGGAAAAACTGGGTTGAGTTGGGATTGTAATGTATTCTGGAGCTATTTTAGGTGACAAAATGGAGGCAATCTCTAGAGTACGTCCCTTAAGACAGTCCTAAAATGCACTGCAATGCCAACTTGATCCAGCTTTTTCTCAACCTTGGAACGGCTATTACCCCTAGCCATCACTATTGATCATAACAATCACCATGACAACCATGATATATATATTGCTGTTTCAGTTAACAAACCCTTTGAAGCCATCCTAATCCACCACTGTGTTATATCTCACCAAGTACCATCATTATCATCTTTTAATCTATATTATATATTGGTCTCCGGGGGGGGGGTACTCCGCCAGAATTTGGGTAGGGGTGTTCAGCTGGGATTCTGAAAGGGGTACCCTGTGATGATAAAAAAACTCAAATTTGTTGACCCTGTTTATGACAAAAGATATAATTTATTGCACTGAGTTCCTGTTTCAATTATTATGTCATCTCGCATATCGTTTTTTTTACGACCATAATAACCAGTTTCGGTCAATACGAAAGTTGAATCTCTGAATATGATAGGAAACTCAGGAAGAACTTGCAACTTGAGTGAAATTGCATACCCTGTTTATGATAAGAAACTCGAAAAACCATACCCTGTTCAGCAGATCATCCCCGTATAGTCCATATATGGGAGTACCCCCCCCCCCCCGGGATTGGTCTCTTACTTGGCTATATTGTCCAGGTTAGCTACTACAGCTCCCCAGCCTTGCTGTTGAAATGACTGTTCACTGATTAATGCTTCACAATTGCTAGCAATTTCAATAGCATAGTGGTTGAATTCTGATGCCAGCTGAGCCCTAGATACGAGAGTTTCATAGGTGGGTGGAAGGTTAAAGGAGACTTCGACTTGTTCTTTTAGATTAGCTTCTGATCCAAATGTAAGGCTTGGTGAAGGTGGAACAGAGGATTCAATGGTACTCTTACTGAACAGAAAGATGGGACTGGTATCCTGTGAGATAAGAGGAAGTGTGCACTTTTTTAAAATGATTTCAATATAATCCTTATGATCTCTGCCAAGAAAAGGACTTTGGACAAAATGTAAGAACAGAAAGTAGCTTTTTAGATTAGGCCAAACAAAAAAATAAGTGTGTTTCCTGTAGCATGAGAAAAATAATTGAGGTCAGTAGGTCAGGTTTTTTTATGATAGACCAAGGGAATCTGGCGTGATTCGTGACTTTTGAATCACGCCAGATTACTTTGAGTCACGCCAGATCCCTTTGTTCACAACTTAAGCCTCACATTGGTGCGAGTTTTGAATTTGGTCTATACAACAGTGGAAATGAGCTTACTGGGAACCCTGTGGTACATTTGGGAATGAAAAAAATATTAGGGTCGGCAAGAAAATTAGGGTCAGTCATGCAACAGGAAACACACTTATTTTATTGTTTGGCCTTATCTGCTTAGTTATTTTTGATAATCTCCCATTGCTATAATTGGAATCGGCTTTGCATAGATTTCTTCAATTTTTGTCAAAAAACTCCCAGCTCTTTCTTGGTTTTGCAAGGCACCTAAGCCATGAAGACCATAAAACAATAACCAAGGTTAATGAACAATACTCTGCAAAACAAAAACCCTAACCCGGACTACAATAAAGCTTGCTACACCAAGAAAGTCCCCAAAATACATAATAATAACTATCATTAATTATTGTGGGCTAAGGGAATGAGAAGTTAGACACAGTCTTGATTTTAGGACCTTGACTTATCACATCACATAGCTTATAAACTGGATACTCTCAAAGATACTTACTGTTCCAGCATTGCTATAGTTACAAACTCTGTCACTGGGATCCAAGGCTTCTCCTCCTGTGATTAGCAGGACTTGTTTGTCAAATGGGATTCCTGTGGCAGTGGCCACTGYAGACATAAGTGTCTGTACACTGTTATAATAGATAATATTGGCGGGGAAAATGCTTAGTGTTCATGTTGTTTAGGATTACTTAGCTGATAATTTATAAACTGATGACTAGTGGCTAGTAAAAGACCCTTCCCTGAATTTGTTAGAGTGACCATGAAACATAGTTCCAAGTCAAGGTTGCAATATTAATGGATAGACCCCTTGCAGTATGTAGGAATGGATCTTAATTGGAGGACATAACAATAGGTGTCCAATTCTTAGGAGATTGAAGATCTTTTGTTTTGTCCTCCTAATTGAGCTGTTTTGACGTCACAAACTTTGGGGTCACTCAAGCGAATTCAGAAAGGTACTATTGGGAGTGCACTGGTGTGTCAAATACAACAAGTTAGTAGTAAGAAGGAAACCTACTGCAGTTTTCCATATTCTGAGGACTCAGACATTTCAACAGCTTTTTGTGAAATCGTTTTTTACTGCCACCAGTTATAAATATAAAAGGTACCAACTGATTATTTTTGATTGACTGCAGCAAAAAAAACAAATTTCAGCTGCAGCTATATATAACTACCGAGTTCGCAGAATATCAAAAACCATAAAAATGTTTTGAACTGAACTGGTATTTAGGATATTTATCCTTAGATATTAGTAGTACAAATTGCAAAAGGCTTTGTGTAAAATTTGGACACTGGAAAAAGGCTATAACCCTGCATAAAGCAGTCTGTAAAAAAAGAACTCAGCGGTGTTTGACTATTTGAGAAAAAAGATGAAGCTATGGCAAACAAATCACAACAACATCCAAGAAGGCTAATAATCTTTGATTGCTCTAGAAATATACCTGGAAATGACTGAAACTGGTCAGACTGCAGACATAATAAAATTGCATTCAGGTACAACATTTGCTGAATAACTGAATCACAGGAATAACGAGCCAAGAGCAGGCTTCAGAAGATTAGCCTTGTCCTTAATTTTTAATGAACAGGAAGCAGTTAAAGATAAGTATAAGTAACCCCTTTGTTGCAATTTCCTGTCATTTTTTATCTTCCTCTTGCACAAAAATAAAAACTGATAAATACAAAATAATACATCTAAAATACCAATATGGCATGTATTGGTAATTATAAATTTGATTTGCTTAGCTAAGGTTATAAAATTTTGCTAAGGTCATCGATATTGTAAAATTTTAGTTTGTATTTTGCATTTACCTTTCCATCGCGAGCTCTATTTCAAAGGTGTACATGACACCTATATCAACCGAAAACACGTACAGCATCTTGTCAGATACTTCTCCTACGAAACCGTAGTCTTTCTGTGTTCCGGAAATTCCTGTTAGTGACAAAGAGGACAGTCCTTTCTGTGAGTTTTTATTCGAGAAGCTGAAAGAGTCGTGAAGGAAGCCTCCGTAGCACTGTCGATGACAAAACGTCGAGGAATTTTTTTCCGTTGTCTCATAGTCGTGGATGATAAACTGAACAAATAGATAAGTGATCCCTCTTCATTTTCAAGTCCATTTTAAGACGATATAGACTGGTTTTCCATCATTATTTTTCGGGAGGAACAAAACACCTTTATAAATATGACTTCCTTTGTCTTTTAAAATTTGTAGTCAATAAGCGTTGCCTGTGCGCATGATCACTTGTATTAATCATGCATATGCGCGCGGGCTCGGATTACCTTTTCCCAGGGGGTAGCCGGTAAGGAGAGTGGGGACGAGAGGTTTATTTGTTTTAGTATAAACCTACAAATTGGCCAAATAAATGGATGCAAACAACTTTGAACTTAGGTTTAAATATTTTATTTTTGCACTATTTTTAATTAATTCAAAACCAGCATTTTTTGCTACGAGTGGGACTATGAGTGGTCTATTACTAATATTGTACAATGTACAGCATATTATTGTTGAGAGATTGGCTCAATGCCTGCTTGTTGCTTTTTTAGAGATTTATTTGATTTGGATATTTGCTACTAAGTAACTATTAATATTGAAAAGTTTCATGAAGACGTTGATCACAACATAAATAGTACTGTCACAAGAGATTATATCTTGACCTTTGGAAAATTCTTCTAGGCATAATCAATGAAATGTTTGATTCCATCAAATCCAATGGAATGATTGGATTCAACTGCATTCAGCAATAGAATGAAATAGAAATCACACAAAAATTTGAGCCAGTCGAACACAATCTATTACGTTTAATTGCAATTTAGGATGGCTTGGAGTCATTCCAACATGATCGAACATTCCCGCGGGGGGGGGACTCCGGGGAAAAAGTACCGGGGATGCTTGTCAGAAATTTTCAAAAAAGACCCCTAAAAGATACCGGGCCGTCTTTAAAAAAGGGCGTGGCTGAATGATTTTTAACCCCTAAGAAGATACCACAACAAATAATATTAAATTTTACATGAAAAGCGCCTAGGATAAGCCATATTGTTGCGCGCCTCTCTCCTTTTCCGACACCCTAAAAGATACCAGAAAATGCTGATTTACAAAAATTTGCATTTATCACCCTAAAAGATACCAAATCGTGAATTTTTACCCCTAAGAGATACGACAAGCATCCCCGTTACTTTTTTCCTGGAGTCCCCCTCCCCCCCAGGCAAATATTCCATTATGTTCAATAGTATGCTCTATTACGTTCAATTGAAATTGAATGCAATCAATCTCACAATTTTTTAGCATTTGATTTCATTATATTGCCAAATTAAATTGCCTTATGTATATATATTTCATAATGATGTCGGGGTTTGTTAACATCAGCTAAAACATGATAAAAATTTAGGCTAAATTTAAGCTTAATTCTCTTCTTTTGAGATATTTAGCCCAATATTTAGTTGTTCTTGTCTTCAACAGCTCATAAACCAAATTTCGTGATTTAAGATGTGTTGTTGTCATTCCATCCCCCGCCAGTAACCTTGATCCCTAGCATCAAAACAATAGTTTGTTTTGGTATGGCATCATTATGAAATAGGGCAATTGAATCCAATCATGTGATTCTTGCTATTGTTGATATAGCTTCTAGCTGATATACAAATGCATTGAAAGGCTCAGGTTTCAAATAACTTATACTACAAGTATAAAGAAAAAAGGCATGCACCAATAATAATAATTATTTATAGCTATATTGAAATGATTGGGTATAATCATTGGTTAATGGCAGGCACCCTTGAATAGAATATTTGTAAAAATATTAAAGTGGGTACATGTTGCTACAATTTCATGACTTCTACTAATTCATATCTAAGCTATTTAAATTCAAGTTGCATGCAACTAAATATGAAGGGATAACGATGATTTTCTTAAATGAAGCATAAGAAGGTACGAATCTTGAAAATTAATCTAGGAATAAAATATTCTAATTTCAATGATAAATGTAATAGATTATAATGCATACATTATGACAATATATGTCAGGGATAAAAGAAAGTTTTTGAAATGCCTGTGAATTGAACTTGTATCAGTCTACTCTATTTTCAGTGGCTTTACTTCTTCCCATGGAAACCCTGGCTTAAAATGTCCAAAAACACTAGTAGCTTTATAGATGGGTCTTCTGAGGTCCAGCTCCCTTATAATCATCCCTGGACGAAGATCAAAATTGTCCAGAACAATTTTAAGGAGTTGATCATCAGTATATTCACTTGACCCATAACTAAATATGGCAACAGACAATGGTTTAGCAAGTCCTATAGCATATGCAACTTGCACTAGCACACGTCTACAGAGTCCTGCCGCAACTAATGACTTGGCAATCCACCTTGCTGCATAGGCTCCAGACCTGTCAACTTTGGAGACATCCTTTCCAGAGAATGCACCACCACCATGTGCACCCCACCCACCATAGGTATCTACGATGATCTTGCGACCTGTAAGACCAGCATCAGCAATTGGGCCACCACTCAAGAACTGGCCAGATGGCAGCAAATGCAAGATTGTATTTTCATCTAAATACTTCTCTGGAACGACTGGTTTTATAACTGTCTCCAGGAGATGATGCCTTATCTCTTCAATTCCAACGTCTTTGGTATGTTGAGTAGAGATGAGTACAGTGTGAACTCGTTGTGGTATACAAGCTCCACCCTCTAAGTTGTATTCGACAGTAACTTGCGTCTTACCGTCGGGTAGTAACCACGGTAAGATTTCCTTTCGCCTGCATTCTGATAGCCTTGCACATAAATCGTGTGCTAGCACGGTTGTTAGCGGCATAAGTTCCTTTGTTTCGTCTGTTGCATAGCCAAACATTAGCCCCTGATCTCCGGCACCCATTTCTTCGTCTTTTTTCCCAACATGAACGCTATCAGCGATTTCTTTCTCCTGCTCTTGGATTGCCAACAAAACACTACAAGTTTTATAATCAAATCCAATGGACGAGTCCACGTAGCCGATGTCTTTTACTGTCCTCCGCACGACGGCCTGGTAGTCAACATGAGCACCGGAGGTTATCTCTCCAAACAACAACACCAATCCAGTTTTTGTAGCTGTCTCGCATGCGACTTTCGCATGGGGATCTTGCTCTAGGTGAGCATCTAACACAGCATCGGAGATCTGGTCACACATTTTATCAGAATGGCCTTCGTTTACTGACTCTGAGGTGAAAAGAAAGCTATGTCTATCGCCTGTACTGTACGGACCAGAGACATTCCTCGCTGTCAAGACACGAGGTGTTGTTGTGCTCAAAATAGTTGGTCTGCCGCAAAGCGGTCGAACGAAAGATTTACTTGCAAAGAGTCGAAACGACTGCATTATCTGATGAGGAAAGTAAATTTGCACAGTACGACAAGTTTTCTTGAAGAAATTAAACTGATTATTCAGTTATATCTGAACTGATTACTAAGCCAGTTCAGTTCAAGGATGATGTAACACGAGAGGCTAAGTGTTTGTTTGACAAGCCAAAGAGCGTCACTCCGAACTCATCCGAAAGAACTCGGAAGATTTTCGGTTTCATTCGTAATGTTAAAAGTGAGCAATCCACCCAGACCCCCGCAAAGCGCACCGGTAAATGTTGTGATCGTAATCAGAACATCGAACCAAGCGAAAAATATGGAAGGTAAATCTTCTCATGTTGTAGACTCAGATTTCCAATCTTCTTCTACGAACTTATGGCCGATGAAACAGGCCTATTTCCCAGACGCAATAGTTGACGATGAAGACGACGATGAGGAATCAAGAAAGCTTGCCTGGCTTAAAAGTTGGTGGTTCAAGCGGCTTACACAAGTATGTTCAGTGGTCAGTGTGATTTCGATGTCGTTGAATAGTCCAGCCACGTTCGAAAGATTTCCAGCCCTATTTTTTGTCACTTTAACACTAGACATTGCAGTGGCCATTGTATTAACAATTGAAATGATCGCTCAGATTCATAAATTTAGTTTTATTGTTGAAATCCGTGCTTATTTGAAACGCCGAAATTGCATCTTTAATTTTATTATGGTCATTCTTATCTGGGTGTCAATTATCCTCCAATTTGTTGAACTTAAAGGCATCAAACCGAAGCCATACATTATTTTTTCGATTCCTAGGGCACCAAGGGCTCTTATAATGCTTCGTGTCTTCAAAGTATTTGTAAACTTTCGTCTTAGCGACGAAGTATCACGCCGATCGAGAAGACAGATCTGGTCTGTGACAATCTTCTTCACGTACTTTATGACCCTTGCATCAATTATTGGCATTCAAATGTTTGGGGCTAAAAATCACTATTGCGTTCGAAATTCTACGGATTTAAATAATGTAACCTATTCAGACCTCCTTTTGCCAGAGGCTAGATGTAGTATGTCGAACGAAAAGGGTTATTTTTGTCCAAGCAATTACAGCTGTGAGTCGATAAATTTGAATGCATTCATGGCTGACCGACAGTACTTCGATCATTTTATCTATAGTATCTTGACAGTATATTTCAGTTCAACTCAGGAAGGTTGGGTTCTCGTCATGTACCAGATGATGAATGTACGTTCAAGACTATTAGTGGTTATTTATTTTATACTCTTAATATTCTTTATAGCCTGGCTCGTTAAAAATGTATTTATTGCCGTCGTTTCTGAAACATTTGCTGATCTTCGTAGCCAGTACACTATAAGTCGAAGGCAAACCCGCAGACGTCGTTACACTGGTCTGTCGTCGCTTGTCATTAAGGATCACGGCACTGGTTGGCATCTCGTTTCTGTGGATCATGAAGCAAGTAAAGGACATGCTCCTCTGCCTGTAAGACGAGTAATGAGTTCAGTTTTCGTAAAGGTTTTTATTATTCTCTGTGTGCTTGTAGATGCCCTGATTCAGGCTTATAATGCGTGGTGGAGATATCTTGCGCAGTTTATGTTTACGATTTTGTTTGACATTGAAGCGCTCCTCAAAATATGGTGTTCAGGCTTCCGTCCATACTTGAATAACTCACGCATGCAGTTCATCGAGTTTGTCATAGCAGTTGGTAGTACAATATTTGCAATCCCAGTCGTAATGGGATACGATGGCTTCTCCGTGTTCCATGTGATGCGCGTGGTCCGCTTGATTGGTGCTGTGCCTGGTCTTCAAGCCTTCTGTCTCAAGATTTTTGGCACTGGTAAAAAGCTTGGTAGTATAATACTCTTGACTTTCTTCTTTGTAATGCTCCTGTCCGCAATGAGCATGCAATTGTTTTCAACCCTGAAGGATGGAAATGATTACTTATTTGGCACATACCTGCAGTCCTTACAATCCATGTTCCAGATTTTAACCCAGGAAGGTTGGGTAGAAGTCATGGAGAAGTCAATGAAGAGCGCTGAGAAATATGGAGCCTTGTTTGTTGCTCTGTTCCTCCTTGCCTACCACCTATTTTCGTCCCTTATCATCATGAGCGTGTTTGTGGCCGTTATTGTGGATAACCTCGAGGTTGACGAGGACGTGAAGATCATGAAACAGCGTAAAATGGGCGAAGAAACAAATTACACCCAGGAGAAACTGCCTCTGAGGATTCGCATCTACGAGCGCTTCAAGGACGATCCTAGGTTGGTCAAAATGAGTCGTCTGAAATTTGCCTCAGAATTCCCCACCCCCAAGATCCGAGAGAGCTTCATGCGTCGATTCGTCAACACAGAATCTGTAAATGATTTGCCTTTGGAATTATCTAGTGAAGGTGGCGAAGGAAGCACTGCTTCTCAAATGATCGTATCTCGCAGACCTGGCCTACACTTACCCGTCGAACTTTTAAATTCCTCAGTCCCGGAAGTGAATCGATCGACCAAGATTTTCCGCAAGCAGTCGACGGTCTCGGCCTTGATCAACGATTCAAATCATCGCAGAACGCTAGCACAACTGTCACCCACTGATATTACCCCGTATGGTAAAAAGAACACTGGATTTCGTTCAGCGTCGCGAAGGTTTCGCGCTGGAGGTGGCCGTGGTGGTAGGGCAGCGGTAACCGAAGCAGACGTAAAGCGCGCCATCGAGATGACTTCCCAAGGGGGCAAGAAACTTCACTCACAACTGAGCCAGGAAGACAGCCATCGAGGTAAAAACTGGGACATCCAAACTGTGAGAGAAAAGCGAGAACAAGCTGAAAGCAGAAGGCGATTACAAGAAGAAACTCTCCGTGAAAACCATCCATTTTTTGACCAGCCACTTTTCGCTCTCCCTCGTGACTCGTGGTTTCGCAACTTCCTCCAGAGCATTGTCCACGCTAGATACATCGTTCCCCCAGGTTACCGTAACCGTAGCAGTATGATCTCCATGGAAACCATCCAAAAGAGTCTAGCATCGCAGACCTACCTGGAATGGGTCATGGTATTCATCACATTAGCCTCTTGTCTTTCAATGATGGTAGAGACTCAGGAAATGAGCACTTTCGAAAATGCCTGGACAAGTACTTTTGAGCACTTCTTCGTGGTAGCCATGAGCCTTGAGTTGGGTATACGAATCCTGGCAGATGGACTTATCTTCACACCCAATGCTGTCATACAAAATTTTGGTGGGGTTCTAGACGTGTTTATTTACTTGCAAGGACTCGTCTACGTTTGCTTGCAGCCAAAACAGGTTCGTGCCGGATCTGCTGCCCAGATGTTGATGATCTTTCGCTGCTTGCGCCCACTTCGTATTATAACTTTGATGCCTAAAATGAAGAAAGTAATCATGGAACTTGTCGGAGGGTACAAAGAAATTCTTAAAGTCTCAGCTTTACAGCTCATTCTTATGTTCAGTTTTGCTATTTATGGAGTGCAGGTGTTCTCAGGAAAGCTAGGTCGGTGTAATGATATCGATATAACAACCAAAGACAATTGCACTGGGCTCTTCAATATAAAACTTGCTTCGCCAAGAGAGCTCACTATCTTGGCTGGGGATATTCCTGAGATGAAGGTACCTCGGGTGTGGAAAAACCCAAGAAACTTTGACTTTGATAACGTTATAAATGCCTTTCTTGCACTGGTCGAAGTACTGTCACTGGAAGGTTGGTTAGAAGTGCGAGATGTGGTTGACAGCGCGGTGGGACCACAGTACGGAATTTATGTCCACGTATACGTGCTATTTGGAAGCATGATTGGCCTTACTCTCTTCGTCGGTGTTGTGGTAACGAACTTCAACGAACACAAGGGAATTGCTTTGCTTACAGTTGATCAAAGGCGATGGCAAGACTTGAAGAAGAGACTCAAGTTGGCCCAGCCTCTGCACCTGCCTCCTCGCCCAGATGATCCAGGTATACGGAAAACCTTATACGACATTATTCAATCCATCTTATATCGTCGTATAGTGGCTGTAATAGTTCTCCTGGAATGTACGACTCTTGCTGTTGGACAGTGGACCACAGTCGAGGCTGCGACACGTGATGGAGTGACGAGTCTAGCTGCAGGATGCACCTTGTTCTTTGTCATTGATGCCATCTTGAAGATTATTTCATACACTTTTGAAGGATACTGGCGAAGCATGAGGAATCGATTTGACATGTTTCTGACAAGCCTCGGAATCCTTTGGGTGATTCTTAACTTCTCATTGGACAGGAGCGATGGTGCTTACACTATGGCTTTGATATTTGGAGTGGTGATCATAGTATTTAGATTCCTAACATTGTCTGGTAAACACAACACACTGAAGATGTTGATGTTAACTGTTGTGATGAGTTTGGTCAAGAGCTTCTTTACTATCGCTGTCTTGGTGATCCTGATGATGTGCTACTCGCTTGCGGGGGTCATCCTATTTGGTTCCGTCAAGTACGGTGAAGCTATCAAACGTTACGCCAACTTCCAGACCAGCTTTAATGCCATGATACTTCTCTTCAGAATCACGACTGGGGAAGACTGGAATAAGGTGATGCACGACTGCATGGTCGATGAGCCGTATTGCACACCAGCAGATCCTGGCGAGTGCTCGACAAACAACCCCCATTGTTGGCGTACAGATTGTGGCAACTCTGCAGCATCTGTGACATATTTTTTGTCATTCTACGTGCTTGTTACATTTGTTCTACTAAACGTCTTCGTAGCCGTCATCATCGAGAACTTTTCTTTGTTCTACGCGAGCGATGAAGATTCTATTCTCAGTAACACAGATTTACGGGACTTTCAAATGGCGTGGAATCTCGTGGACAAAGGTCGCAGAGGAGTCATGTCAGTACCTCAAGCTCGATTATTTTTACGGGTCTACATCTTCTTCAAACAGAATAACATCCTTAAAGGTCGCTTAGGCGTCGACGAAAGGTCAGTGACGTTTAGGCACATGTGCTGTGAGATTGAGAAGCTTCGTAATGGAGGGGATGTTTCCTTCCATGATGTCCTGGGCGTGATTGCCTACAGAACAGTAGATATTTCTCGTTGCTTACAGCTAGAGGAACTCTTAGAACGTGAGGAGCTGGAGTACACTATTGATCAAGAAGTTGCCATTCAAACCATACGCGATTGGTTCATCAAGCTTCGAATGAAGCGGGAAAGAGAGCGACAACAAAAGGAGGCTCGTGCAAGCCCCTTGGTGTCTAGCAATGAGAGCATCAACAACGCGGGACTAAATGACGAGTCTGATCGTGAACGCGAGCAACGTGAACGTGAACAACGGGATCGATTCAGCAGCGGTGAAGAAGAAGAAAAAGAAGCAGAAAAAATCCCAGTGAGTAGAACACTGTCTTCACAGTCAGCAGGATTTTTGGCCCCTCCTTCTACTCCTCCACGCCAGAGAAAATTCTCTGGTCCAGATAGAGTTCTTTCACAGCGGAAAACGTCTACTGTGACATTCCCAACGGAAATAGTGGAGCCACCGCCGGCTCCTCCAGTGGTGAGATCAAGACACAAGCAACCTCCTGTTGAACACAAGGAAAGCGGTGAAGTCAAGGACTGGTGGACAGCACAGATGAAAGACGATTCAGAATTTCCAGCTCCTTAGATTGAGAATCCTTCAAGTAGGAATAACGGTTTGGTTTTTTTTATTATATTTTTTTGTATTTTGGATGCATTGGCAGACAGTATTTTTATTATGCTACAGAGCAAAATCAGTGAATATTTCTTCAGCCATCTCTGGTATATATTGGCGGCGCTCAGCTTGCATAATAAAAGTTACGTCAAGATGTGTCCACTTATTGTGACCATAAATTTCATGACTTGGTTACTGCAGGGAGGTGTGATTTTTACAGTCTTTCCCTCATACCTCACTGGTGGTTACTGTGCTCTAGTACAACACGGCATAAGGATTGTTTTATTAGTCTCCCTGTGGTGGCAATCAAAAATTTAGGGTCCTATATACCAGAGCCCTCAGTATCATTGTTACTGCGCATGCTAGACCAAAATATCAGTAACAATGAGGTCAAGAGTGCCTGAAGGGGTAAAATCAGAAATTCTTCATATATTTTTTTAAGTGGCAATGGGGATTAAATTGGGTTTAGGTGACTGGGAATGGAAGATTAAAACGCTAAAATTATATGAGAATTCTACAAAATTCACTGGGATTAGGGATTGGTTAAAATTTATGCTGGACAGATGAGGTAATGGACCCACCACCAATCAGGGAACTGAAAAATAACCTGCATGCTTTTATCCTACTCAAACAGATTCCACTCTGAAGTAGGTTTTTAAATAAAATATTTAACGAAGTGGTAGAGTGCAAACCATATATCTGTGAAATATTACTAATCAGTAAAAACTAGCACCAGTCAAAAACTTGAAGAGTGTTTAGTGCTATTTAGCTTTTGTGCTATTTCACGGATAGAGTACAAACACTAAAAGTGTGCAACATAAATACCACTAAATACTGCTAAATTATGCTAATCCTATTGTTTTCTATTGTTTAATTAGCACTATTTACTATTAAATAGTGCAAAGTGTTGCACACTTTTAGTGTTTGTACTCTAGTACTAAATACTGTGAAATTGTGATAATTCTATTGTTTTCTATTATGTAATTAGTGCTCTTTAGTTCTAAATAGTGCAAAGTATTGCACGTTTTTAATGTTTGTACTCTACATGGTTTGCACTCTATTGTATAGCATATACAAAACGTGCACTGAAACTACAGGAATAGTTGCCCACTGGTATTCTGGGTATTTTAGTAGTCTTCTCCTGGTTGGGAAGTTTTTATCATTTATCAAAACTTTTAATATAAGTTAATGCAACAGAAATCATCATCTGTTGACCTTTATTACATAGCTATGGGCAAGAGAGTATAAATTACTTTATATTCGCTTGCTATAGGCCATTGTAAGTCCCTTTGTAATAAATCTCACAATTCTTTTCATGTGAAATAAATAGAAGAAAATAAGGCATTGTGGGATTTTTAAAGGGGACTTGCACAGTCTGAATCAGTCAGTATAATATATTCTTCTAAAGCAGTTTTATAGGCTGATTTCATTAGTTTGAAGCATAATTCTCGTATTGATTTCTTACTAAAAAACCCCAGCCTTTTGGCAGTTTTTAAATGATATGCTAGGTTATGCCTCTAAACAATGGCAGGGGCGTATCCAGGGGGGCGTATCCAGGGGGCGTCACAGGGTGTCCGTGACCCCCCTTTCAAAGCAAAAAAATCTAACCGGCCGTTGATGCAGTGTGTGAAGATTTGTTTAGACTTAACTTAAGCAGTAAGAAAATCAGTTTTCTCGCTTCTCAACGCTTCTCGTAGCCGTTTACGTTGTTCTTTTCCCCTCTATCGACCATAATTCTTCTTCGTCAAAACAATAGATTGCTATGACGTCCTAGCGTCAATTTGGTATGTAAGGACCCCCTCAATTACAAATCCTGGATACGCCCCTGAATGGGAAAGGCCTACCTTTTTATATTCTCAAACTCGATGCATACGAAGTGTAATTGAGTTGATTACAACCCCATGAAACAAAAATTACAGTGTATGATAGTTATAATATATGAGGCTTCAAAATTCAAGTTTTACAGTAGAGTGACCACAGTAAATCCGTGAAACTCTAGTAATACTAAATAGCACAATTTCATGCAAATTCCATTGTTATCTATTGTTTAATTAGCACTATTTTGTACTATTTATTAATTAGTGTTTCACGGATTAATTATTTGCACTCTACTCAAACTAACTACTAGGTTGTTCTTTTCGTTCTTTGTAAAGTCAGAACCGATAAAGTTTTTTAATATATGTAATAAATCTCAATGCTGTCCAATTAAGAAATATTTGGACGTGATATATTTAACTGCCAAAATTGGACGAGGCCATAGGTCAAGTCCGATTTGCCAGTCAGGAATTTTTCAAGTCTAATTATTTCTTAATCAAACAGCATGGATTCCTATTAATTTTATAGCTACTTATTAATCCATGTAGGCAAGAGAAAATGAACTAAGAGATGGAATCCCCGTGCCCCATCAATGTGCACACTTTGATGCTATTTTTAGAATCATTGATGCTATTTTTAACTCGTTACCATGCCCGCGTGATAATCATGTTTCCCTTTAATGTTTCATTTTAGGACACGGAAAGCGCCATATTTCGCTACGTCCACGACAAAAACACAGGCTTTGTTTACTGCAAGACTGGAAGCCGTCTACCCTCAAGAAATTAACCAATCGGGTTCATCGCGCAAAATACCTCCAAGCTAAAAATAGCATCAAACTTTGCACATGATGGTTACAAGGCTATATAGGTAGGATTCCTTCTCTTAGTTCATATTCTCTTGATGTAGGTTAAAGCCGGATCATCTTTAATTTTCAAGAACTGTCCAATTAAGAAATTAAATTGGACAGTTACCTATTCTTCGATTGGACGTTGCGTCATCGCGGCCATGTTGGCGCCATTTAACAAAAGATTTCTTATTAGCATTCATTATTAACGGCAACACAATGGCCGTCATGCTTTTGTCTTTTAACTCTCTTGGGAATGCTTGCAACCCATCAATATGGGATTAACAGGTAGCTATATAATTAGGCCCTTTTGAGATGAAGTCAGGATGAACCTACCTTCCATGGCTAGTTATTTTCATTGTGAATTGGGGAAGAAAAAACTACTTGTCCCTAGTTTTAAGGTTAATATCTTACTTTCATGTGAACAGGCCCTAATGCAATTTACTGTACAATCTTTATCAAAAAGGAGAATTTTAACGGTATTTTATTAAATAAGTTAACTTCAAAGGAATCATTATTTGAAGCAAAACACTACTTACTTGCAGTGCAAATAAGCCTTTGCAAATATAAAAGATATAGTCTTTGAATATTACAGAATTAGTTATGAAGTCAAAATATTTATTGTGATTTCATCGTTTAGGATCATTATATTACGGAAAACAAAAGGAAAGTTGGATATTAAGATTTTTTGAGAGTGGTTGCTTTACTGACAGACCGCGCGCACGTCTACATTTATGGCGGGAAAATTGGGTAATCACGAAAAAATGTGTACAAGTAGTTGAAATTAATTAGTAGAAGAATTAATAAATGGAATTGTAAACATTACAATAATGCAATATCTTTCTTGGTTTTAAGATTGATGTTTTTTCTTTGTTTGCATAGCTGGCTTCAATAATGTTCTTCAGTGTAACTTGTCATGTTACATTGCCACGTGTTGTAACGCTATAGGGACCCGGCAATAGACCTTATTCCTCTAAGGCATGTTATTACTATAATAGACTCTAAAAGTCTTTGCCTTTAAGTTCAAAGACGAATGCAGAAGCGCGATGCGCTAATGATAATGACAGATTTAACCGATTCAAAATCAAATTTTTATGTACTTACGGCATTTTAAAGCCCGACTAACTTTTTTATCACTATAGAATAACAAAAGTTTAAGGGAAAACTTTCTTTTTTTACGATTTTTTTTACTAAAAACGACAGTTTCTTCCTGTTGATTAAGTCCAAGTTTTTAATTACGTTTTCCGGAACAACTTTTAGCGATAAAAGTTAATTCGCAGAACAGAAAGATAAAAGTTTTAAAATGTTTTCAAAATACAAGAATATTCTATTTTATCTATTGGTTCTACTTCTGAAAATATTCAGTTCTTGCCACGAATCGACTGGGAAATCTCCTGAATATGGACTAGCAGTGATAACAGCAAAGAATTATGAATCGGAAATCATCAATGGTGATAAAGACGCGTGGATTCTTGCTGTTAAAGATGTGAGGAAGATTTCCCTCGAACAATGGAAGGAAATAGAATTTTCAGTTCGTGGAATGACGGTGCGAGTTGGTATAATAGATCCAGAAAAGGATGGAGCTTTTCTCAAAAGAAAGGTACGTGAAAAAAATAAAATTATTTTTCCATTGTAGACTAGCTGCAGGGCTTCAACTCAGAAGCCTCTCAATTTATGCAACCTAATTTATGTAATTCTATTTTCGGCATCTTTTCACGCTTCAAGAAAAATTGCCGTATATAAAACGGATATTGATTTGCACAGAAGAATCCTATTTCAATCATTAATAACATGTTTCTTCATTTACGAACAATTGTCAGCTGCTGCCAAAGCTTCCTTTCCCACGCCTTAATAAACAGACCTTTTCAGCTTGGGCATAATGTACTTTCATTTCAGACCATGTGTCATTCCTTAAAAAAAAAAATTTCACCTTTGAAGTATCACCTTTCTTTTGAAGTGTTACTGGTAAACAAAGAAATACTACTTAAGGGAATGACACGTTGAAACGAGAAAATTTCCTCAAAACTGAAAATGGCGGATATTTATTTTAGGGGTTTATTGAAGACAAGTCGTACCCAGTAGCGCGCGTTTTTCCATATGGTGGATGGAAAATCAAGACAGCTGGGATGAAAGACACGAAGAGTATGAAAGAAGCAAAGAAAATGGCGCTGCAGAGTCTTCCTGATGATACAACTAAAATAAACATAATGAGTGAACTGGAATATTTTGTGCACTCATCGTACGGCACCTCACCTCCAAGGTTCCCGGTTCTCCTGTTCACTAGTAAGTTATTAGTCAATGCATGTAGAGAGATGTACATATTCTTGTCACTTGACACAGGAAGCCCGAGCCATACTGGGCTTTTTCTAAGATAACGAACATGGTGTATTTTGGTCTAGCTTAGGTAAAAACATCTTTTTTCCAAGTCTTATACACCGACTCGAAGTATGGCGACCAATTTGAATAACTATTGCTCTGGACCGACTATAGCCTCTCATACATGTGAAAACGCTTTTACTGTTTTTACGTGAACGCGAGGTTAGTCAGTCCAGATAGAACAATACTAGCTATTCCGATTGGACGCCATATTTCGATTCGGTGTATAAGACATAGTGAAAATAGGTGTTGTACCCAATCTAGACCACAATGAATCTATTTATCGAACGTAACTCAGAAAAGCCCTACGAAACCAAATTGAACTGTTGCTCTCACTTAACGGCCACGTGACAATTACAATTTCTTCCTATTTCATTCCTTCTTTTCTCCATTCCATTTTTTCCCCATTCCATTTCTATCATAAATTTTCGTTCCCATTTCATTCCTTCCTGATTCCGTTTACACTCTACAGAGAAAAGACAGACCGCAGCACTTTACAAAGCCCTGGCTTTAAAATACTCAACTTACTTCAACTTCGGTGTCGTGAGAAAACCTTCAGTTGAATTCTTACAACAATTCCACCTTAAAGATCTGCCAGAAATCCTAGTGATGATATCCAGCTTCCTCCCTAACAATCAGCTCACCTTCAGCTCGATTCCATACGATAAGACATCTTATGGTGCTGTAAGTTATTTAACAGTTGCAAAGTTTTTATATTCTGTGCACGAGAAACATTGGAAAGAATTACCCAACATTAAGAGATTCAAAGGAAAAATGAACTTTAAGGAAGAATTTGTGAAAGAAAGTAAAGCAATTCTGAACTTGGGAATCAAGAAAGAAGACAAAAGTTCAAAAGAAATAGTCGTGAAAGAGATAACTCACAAGAATTATAAAGTATTATGCAAGGAAAATGATTTAGGGTTGTGTTTGATAGCGTTCGTGGACGGGAAGGATGAAAAGATAATGGAAAAGAGTATTAACTTGTTGAAAGATTTACAGAGGACCGAAGATATGGAAGGTGAGTCTTGAAAACCCATTATCTTGCGCAAGAAGATTCACACTAATAGGTCACGTGATACCTCCCTAAAACGAGCAGTTGTGTCAAAATGAACAACAGAAACAAAACGAGCATGTCAATATTAATGAGGCAGTTTGCAAGCTTATAATGTTGACTATGGGAGAAATGGCATAAAATATAAAACCAAATATTTTATTACGATTTGTATAATTGGCTGGCTGGAGGCGTATTCCTCGAGTTTGGCGTTTCATATCAATTTTTATGGGGGAGGGGATGATTGCAACCACCTGGATTTGCAGCCTTTATTTCTGTTCTCTATGCAAAGCAGACTCATGGTTGTTTTATTTTTCCAGGAAAGCCATTACAGTACTTGTGGGTCAATGCTACCTGCCATCCAGAATACGGAGACGTGTTTGGAATCTTTCCTCATACTCTTCCTACACTGCTCATAATCAAGCCCAGACAACGCCTATTTCTCACCCAGACACTACAAGACACCAGCCCAGGTGACATTAGTGAAATGGTGTTGAAGATCTTACAAGGACTAAAGAATCTACAGAGATATGCAAGATTTAATGATATGCTACAACTAGACTGTAGGTAAGACCAGGATGATGATGATGATGACAACGACGATGATGATGATGACGATGACAACAATGATGATGATGATGATGGTGATGATGATGATGATGATTGGGTTACGAACGAAGTAGAATTTTTTCCAGTCTGGCCCAGGATACACAGAAAGACCACAGAGACTTTTGGTCAATATTTGTTTGGTAGCAGTAAATAACTGATCGAACCTTAAGAAAACATAATATACTCAAGTATCACTCTTTTATTTATTTCAGAGATGTAAAAGTGGATGAGAATACAGTGAAAAAATCTTATCGAAATCAGGAACTGTAAAAGACTTGACCACCTGCAGCCATGTCTGTACAGTGAAATTTTCACAGTCATATAAAATACTGTCAATGGCAAAACAACAATAGGTGTAAACTTAAATGTTATTTTAAAAATAAAGACATACAAGCAAAAAGTATTAATAATATACTAATTTATAAACTTTTGACGTATTAAATAATATTTTATAAGTTATTTTGAAAACAGATTGGATGAATTTCTTTAAAATTTATAGTCTTTTTTAACAATAAAGGGATAATTTATTAATTTATTAAGTTATTGGAGTTGAATTACATTTTGTACCTGAAAAAGTGCTCTATAGCAAATAGGGTGAAAAGCCTAAAAGACATAGCATAATAAAAAAACTTAACAAATACCTGCAAAGAAAAATTGTATCTTAAGAGATCGAGAATATGGGCAATTTTTTTCTTGAAATTAAATTCCTCTAATAGATACGTTTTTGCATCTGAGAATGCATAAAGCTGATGGACAGCAAGTACATGGTAGTTCAGCATGCCATGAGATTTTAATGGCTTCTCGTTCTTTCTTTACCATTCATCAGCGAAGTATCCATATCAACGGAAGAACCAAGCAGCAAAGATAAAAACCTGCAACAAGTTTTCTCACTTGATAAAAAATAATGTTCAATCAGATTTCACAGTTTTATCTGACGGTGAATTTTCACCGGATTCAGTTTTTGAGCTACTGAAATACATAGACCATCTTAGAACAGCAACTCTCATTCTATCCAGAATTGCACTAGGAGAATCAAATGCTGGTCGCACATCAAGATGCACAAATTCTCCCTGCTTGTAAGATTCTTCATCACCAATGTCATAGTAATCAATAATATATCGTACTTGTTTTCCACAACGATCAATTATCCAGTCATGCCGATCAAAGGGAAGCTCATACCTGGAGATAAATGTATTGAAATAAAGGTCAAAATATATTGTGTATAATTTGTTTCTAATCATATAAATAACAGGATAAAACCAGAAATTCTAGAAAGCTGGGCTGGGGCAGTCTTGACAAAAGAGTGTCTTTACAACAACTAGGGATAGAGCTGCAAATGCAACACTCTTTACCACAGCTTTTATCATTGATGGTATGTGAAGATTGAGACAAAAGTCACAACAGGGTAATCAGAAGTAGACTATCATCAATCATCACAGTATGTTATAAAATATTTTAAATATGATGCACTGTTTGCCTGGCTACCATGTTTATATCAGTGGACAGAGACACGCTTACACAAAATTTTTCAAAAATCTATCTATACTTGATCCTTACCCTAACCAGCTTCTGATTCTTGCTCTTGGACTAAATTCTTTAGCTTTACCTCTAAAACTAAGTAGCTTTGGGTTGCCACACTCTCTATTGAGGAAAACAACAGTTATGACAATGTTGATTTAGGAAGAAACAAAGAAAGAATTATAAAGGTAAATGTGATTCATGAGTATCCCAAAGGATTAGAAAGGAATAACGTTGATATCCCGATGAGTTTCAAAACAATAGCTCTTCATTCCCCCAGAGGTTTGTCACACTGAATTGGRAAAACATTGTCACACCACGAATAAGGTCAATTTAGATGTGTTTCTATTTTCTAGTGTGCTTTGTGGCTGCTTGCAAAAAACCTTCATTTAATGCATTCTTAAGTAACTTTGCAACTTATGGTTGCAATTAAAAATGTGTTCATTTACATAATAGAACTTTAATTTATTTATCTAACGTATTATCAGGTATTTAACAATGATTATCTACATTTAATATGTGTAAAATTAGTCGTCAGTAATGTAACAGTAAATGATGAGATGATCGCATGCTGATGGTAAGGTGTCAGTGAGTGGTCTATAAGGCAACAGTAAGGTGTCGGCATCTCAGTCGACCATTTACCAACATCTTACCCTATGGTGTGGATTGATGATAATAGCCAAAAGACTTACTTGACATGAAGTGCTTCCCATCTGAGTATCTCATCCCATGCTCTTTCATTGTTAGCATTGTGTATTCTGATTATGTGATCCATGTCATTAGGTTTTAAGTCATCTTTTTCCCATTTCCATCCCTTTCTAACCATTGCATTCCAAAACATTTGTGGTGATGGATAAACCCATTTTTCTCCATCAGAGTTCCCCTTTGGTATGGATGACACTACTCTGTCTGTCGGCAGTGGATATGGCTGTCCTGGGGAAGGCTGCTGATTGGCTGGTGGCATCTTGATTAGATGAAATAACAGTGTTTTGTTAATCTAGACAATAACTGATGCTTTCCTAGCATGTGATATTCCATCTATACCAACTTAGAAAACTCATTAATAATTCATGAAGAAAACACAATAGAAATCATGACCATGAAGG